GAGTGGGGTGGGAGTGACGGTGAGGGAGAGAGTGGGTTTGGGGATGGGGGAAGGTAGTTTGGAAGGAGGGGAGTGAAGTGGGTGAGAGAGTGTGTGAGGTAAAGTGTTGGAGTGAGTGAAGAGGACAAGAGAGCGTGGAGGGGGAAGCAGAATGGGAGAGGAGGACAAAGTGGTTGAGGGCATAGAATGGAAGGAAAAGGTGGGAACGTGATGTTGAGTGAGTCACTGAAACGGGAGAGTGAATGGTAAAGCAAGTCAGTTAAAGGGAGCCGTGAGGAAGGAGGTGTAGAGGAGAGCAGGCTGGGTGGAAAAAAAGTAGGATGTGTAAGAAAAAGGAAAGGATGGAAATAGGGAAAAAAAAGGGAATCACATCCAAGACAGAACATGAGCCATTATTGTCTTTGTCGGAGGTTGACAAGACGACAAATATATTTAAATGTGGGGTAATTTATTTTTGCAGATACGTTTTGCATCCACAGTCACGTTTCCCAAAGTTTAACCTGTACCTATGTTGTCTTTCAGTATTGATCTCAGGGGTGGTAAAATATTCAATTTTTATTTTTATGGAATTTTTAGTATTTCATATTACTTGGTGAGTTTTCCCATTGAGAACAGTCTCTCCAGGCTGTGGAACTTTTGTTTTCTTTAATGCTATTTTTGGTGGTTACTTCATGACACATGTGCATCAACGGCTAGGCCTTATTGCCCTTGGTAATGTGTTACTTAGCTGCTGTCTTAATCCATTGCAGTCCACCTTGTGCAGGCACTGTTGGGATGAAAGCTCCAAGATTTTCACTCAACAACAGTGAAGAAATGACACCATATTTCCAATGTAAACTGGTGTGTGATTTGGAACAGGACTTGCAGCAGGTGGTGTTCCTATGTATGCTTTTTTTTCCTAGCTGATCAAGTTTGCAGATATGGAATGTAGTTTGAAGTAACCATAATGAGTGTCTGCAGTACATCCTGCATGTTCTACATGTTGCTTCTCCTGTGTGTCAGTGATGAAAGGAGTGAATGTGGATAGTGGGTGGATTGCCATTCAAGTGGACTGCTTTATTGTGCGTGATGTCAATTTTTTTTGTGTTTTGTTGGAGACAGAGGTCTATTCCATCACGCTTCTGACTTGTACATTGTCAATGCTAGACAGGCTTTGGGAATGTTACACTTCTCAGAATTCTCTGACTCTGACCTGCTTTCCTGGGTATTGCATTTATATAGTTGATCCAGCATAGTTTTTGGTAAATAAAAACTCTCAGGATGTTGATAGTGGGGTATTAGGTAATGGTAATATAGAAACATAGAAGATAGGAGCAGGAGGAGGCCATTCTGCCCTTTAAGCCTGCTCTGCCATTCTTCACGATCATGGCTGATCATCCAACTCAACAGCCTAATCCTGCTTCCTCCCCATCACCTTTGATCCCATTCGCCCCAAGTGCTATATCTAGCTGCCTCTTGAATACATTCAATGTTTTGGCATCAACTACTTCCTGTGGTAGTGAATTCCATGGGCTCACCACTCCTTAGGGTGAAGAAATGTCTCCTCATCTCGGCCCGAAATGGTCTACCCCGAATCCCCAGACTGTGACCCCTGGTTCTGGGCGCATTCACTGTCGAGAAATTGTCGAATGTTGTGGAGGAAGGGTTAGATACTCTCTTGCTGGAAATGATCATTGCCTGGCAATTGAGACTTGAATGTTGCTTCCCAGTTATCAGCCCAAACCTGAATCATAGAATCCCAACAGCGTGAAGCTGGCCATTCAGCCCATCAAGTCCACACCAACCCTCTGAAGAGCATTCCACCCTGACCCCACCCTCACCCGGTAACCTGCATTTCACGCGGCCAATCCACCAAACCTGCATATTTTCGGACTGTGGGAGGAAACTGAAGCACCCGGAGAAAACCCACGCAGATATTGAGAGAATGTGTAAATTCCACACAGTCACTCGAGGATGTAATTTAAACCTGGTCCCTGGTGCGGCAGCAATGCTAACCACTGAGCCACCGTGCCGATGTTTTCCATATGCTGTTGCATATGGATGCAGTATCCGAGAACTTGCAAATGCTACTGAAAATTGTGAAATAATCAGTCAGCGTTCCCACTTCTGAACTTTTCATGGAGGGGTGGTCGTTGAGGAAGCTGCTAAAGATGGTTGGATCCAACATACAAATAAATTTTGAGTCATATCAAATCAGACAGCAAGATGGTAGAATGGTGGAATTTGAATTCAATAAAATATCTAGAATTAAGAATCTAATGATGACTGAATCCATTGTCGATTGTTGGAAAAACCCGTTTGGTTTGCTAATGTCCTTTAGGGAAGGAAACTGCCATCCTTACCTGGTCTGGCCTCCTTGTGATTCCAGACCCGCAACAATGTGGTTGACTCTTAACTGCCCTCTGGGCAATTAGGGATGGGCAATAAATGCTGCCTAGCCAGTGACGCCATCTTCCCGTGAATGAATAAAAAAAACAAAAACGCTTTCCATCAGTCTTCACAATAGAAGACACTAATAACTTTCTAAAATTACTGAATAATCAGGGTGCAAAAGGAGGAGAGGAAATAAATTCAATAGCTATCACTAGAAAAATAAAGCTAGAGAAATTAATGGGGCTGTAGGCTCGTAAGTCCCCTGGACCTCATGGGATGCTGTAGTAATTTTCCAAGAATCCTTTAAATTCTGGAACATTGGCATTTTCCACTCCTTTGCTAATGTTATTTAAACAGAATTATTTATACAAAATAGCCAACTTTCAGCCGGTTAGTTTACCATCTGTTATTCGGTAAGTGTCAGAGTCAATAATAAAGAATGTAGTATTTAGATAGGAGCATTTGGAAGTACATAATATGAACAAGGAGAGTCAATGTTGCTTTGTGAAGGAGAAATCGTGCCTGACAAATTTATTAGAATTCTTTGAGGAGGTAACAAGCAGAATGGATAAAGTGGCAACAGCGGATCTAATATATTTGGATTGTCAGAAGACGTTTGATAAAACCACACATCAGACTTCTTAAGACGACAAGAGCCTGTGTTGTTGAAGATAGTATATTGGCATGGATAGAGGACTGGCCAACTAATAAAAAAATGGAGAGGCTGGGCAAGGGGGCATTTTCAGGATGGCATCCTATAACTAATGGAGTGCCATAGGAAATCCGTGCTGGGGCTAGAATATTTACAGTATAAATTAGTGACTTGAATAAACAAAAAAGTGAATGTGTAATAGCCAGGTTTGCAGATGACACAAAATAGATGGGAAGATGAGTGGGGAGCTGGATACACTAATACTATACAGAGGGATATAGACCAGTCAAGTGAATGGGCAAAGCCTTGGCAGACAGTCTATAATGTGAGGAAATATGATGTTGCGCACTTTGCCAGAAAGAATACAGGAGCTGAATATTAAATGGAGAAAGACTGTAGAAAATCACAGAACAGAGGATTTTGGGCATTAATCACAAAAAGGCTAGCATCTAAGTTCCACAGATAACAGGGAATGCACATGGAATATTGGCCTTCATTTCAAAGTGAATGGAGTATAAAAATAGGAATGTCTTGCTAGAACTATAGAAGGCACTAGTCAAACTACAGCTGGAACATGATGAACAGTTCTCGGCTTCTTATTTAAGGAAGGATATATGGCTATTGGAGGC